AGGTGAAGGTTGAGTTGGCCCTGATTCCAACTTGCCCATGACCTTCGGTGGTCATTTCATGGGTTGGTCTTCAGCTCGCTCAAAATTAATGTGACAGGGTTAGACATGATCTTTCCTGAAGTCCCTTCTAGTTCAGCATTCTGTGATGTTCTTTGCTGGCTTCAGCAAAGTTATGGGGAAGTTGAACACATACGATTCAAAAGAAGTACTATTGATTAAAACCGTATTAAGACCACTTTAACAGGGAGAGAATGAATACAAATGGAACGAGTCTGTCACATGACTATCCTTTCAATGAGCGGGGAAACTCTTTTTTGGGGTTTGGGTTAGGATTTACTGGTGCTGTTTCTAGGAGTTAACCTGATTATTAACTGCTTGGTGAAAGAGCCAAGGAAGATTACCTGTCAGGACTGCATGCAGAATGACAAGACTGCATATGGTGCGGAGGCCTTACCAAGCAAAAGCTGGGTGTAGCCGTATCTCTCTGGGCAAAGGCTGGTAAGTTCTAAGAGGAGTTTGTGTAGTGTCTACATCATAGATATGCTTTGAGGCAAATGTGTAACATAAGTGCCTCCATCTGCAGTTTTAGGAGAAGATTTTACTGGCCACCAAAATGACGCAGTGACACCAGGCAGTCTTCTGGTAAAGGTTCTGCAAACTTAACATAATGACCGTGTTGTAGAAGAAAAGCTACAAAAGTCTTTTTCATTAGGTAAGTGGCATAAATAACCCTTTCCACGAGGGCGTCCAAGCAATTGTGTGAAAGATAAAAGTTTGCAGTTTTGTGCAATAGCAGGAATGGCAGCGGCATCCTAAGACCGACTCAGACTAATCTGGTTTAAGCTCCAAATATGACCTACATTAAAAGTGGCAGACTCTGATGAAGCATAGTGAGGAATCTTCTCCCACTTGTTCTAAATCCTGGAGCCTTTACAATCCAGCCTATCATAAAGGAGGAAGTATTTCTGACCGTATCTTGGAGAAATCAAATGCTGTGTTTATGCAGGGCTAACAAATAAACAAAGATCTGTGCTCCCTCTGCTGGCTCTCTATAGCAATATTGAAGGAGAAAGGAACCATACGTAGTATTGGCATCTTCAGTAAACACAAGTCAGTTTGGGTATTCTGAGAAGAACCACTCATTTAACTTGGTTTTGAACATTCTTTGGGAAAAATCTATCTTTATCGACTTCGGACAAAGGCACTTGGAAATTCTTAAAATTAGATATGAAATGAGACATACCTGTAGCCCTTGGCTACCAGATTGCTAGCTGTGACTGTAATAGTGATCTGGGGATTGATTTATCAGCAGACACAAGTGGATTCCTCCAAGATTTTTAGATCCAGACACAATCTTTAGGGCAGTTCTGAAAAAAAATCTCAGGTCCAATGTAAAGTTCCTTTTTTCTCTTTTGTAAGAGCAACTTCCAAAAAGTAAAGATTTACACTATTTATATCTTTTCTGATAATGTCAAACACTAGACTTGATTTTCCAAATCATTAGCATGCAGAAGAATGACCTCATGGTGAACAGATGCACTTGGCTGTGAGCTGCAGTGATTACATCAGTCCCTCCCAGCAGTCGAGGGTGCCCATTCCAGTTAACCCTTTCAAGGCCTCTCTGCTGGTCCCTCTTTCTTGGTGATATGATTGAAAACACAAATTTAGTCCCCCACCTCAATATGTGTGTGTGTGTGTGAGAGAAATGTACATGTGTATATAAATGTATTTATACATAAAACACATATATGTTAACTGCAACCAATATTTTAACACTAACTACCTTTTAGATTATTTATATTTATTGCTGTTCAAAAAAGGAAGGTAAACTACAGTGCTGGGTAAAAAAAGTAGTTGAAATATCTTTACATGTCAGGTGTTATCAATACAAGTAATGGATGGAATAGATACAAGGTAGACATGATGGTCTTTAAAAATATTTTCTGATTAGGAAAATAGATTTTGTTTTGAAAGCTCTTTGAAAAAAGCCGAGCACTCATATATTAGCAGCTACATCACCATGTGTGGTTGACAGCGCATCCTGAACGGAAGCCTGTTCACCTGGCCAACCCCGTCCCCACAGGGCTTGTTGGGCGGATGGGTAACAGCACCTGGATGGGGGAAGTCAGAGGCAGAGGGCATTTTCCAACAGTGGAACCTTCAGGCATAGGCCACTCCCACTGAGCACATCTCCCACTTTCACTTCAGACTTAAAGGCTGATATTGGGGCTTTCCCTCTAGAAGTGGGGGCTGCATGCTGCTTTCTGGCTTGCTGCTACCAATACAGTGTGGAATGAATGCAGCGTTCAGGTGACGCTCCCTCTTCATTAATAATAAAGCCCCTTGTGGTGAGGATACAAAGAAAACCTAGGAGCCCCTAATTCCTCAGATTGTGCATATGCATGTGAGCCCAAGCCCAAGGCCCTGCTTTGATGACACTGAGGGCCAGAGATGGTCTGATTGGGTCCTAAGTGCACTGTGGGAGCTTAAGCCGCTCAGGGTCAATTTTTCCAGTTGGCTTGTTGCTTGGAAGAACAGACTTCACCTCAATTTCTTAGTTTAAGCTGGCTGGCTCATCTGGGTTTGATCGCACTTGTCCCAAGAACATAACAGTGTAAACAAATGACAAATGTTTTCATCTGTAGAAGTAGTAACAGACAGTGGACAGGGATTCTTCAAAAGCGAAGCCAGTATGTAAATGAGAAGATGCTTCTGGAAACGTGCTTGTCTATGGTGCTGAAATGCTCCGTCCTCATTGTACTGCCCCACATTTCAGTTCAAATCAAGATTATATCTACTTCCTTCCTGCTCAGCGTTATGAGGAGATATGCAAAGAATTAAAACAGAACATCATGCCTAGACTTAAAAATCACACTTAAGGATAGGTATGATAGATATATAAAAAATTTTCCCACTCAACACTGAATACCTTAAACCATGAACACTATGAAATGTAATACTGATGTTAATAATTTGAAAAGTGGAGGGAGTAGCATTTGTCTTGATATTCCATGTTTGGTTTCACATTCCTTTTAGAAAAGTTCCAATGCCCACCCTCACATGCTGTCAGAATCTTTATTCTGGTAAGCAATTTTCAAAAATATGACATTCTTGAAGAAGCCCATTGACAATCCTCTCCAAGTAGAGTTCTTAAAAACTCGAATTGCTCCTAGAATCTCCCTCATTTCAATTGGTTTAAATAATTATGAATGTTTGGAAAAGATCAAATTAGTTTATACAGAGGCTAAAATATACATAGAAAACAAGGTCCATCATTATTCATTTTGATAATATCTTAATAATCTTAAGAATGTAACAGTTAAGGAATGAAAACATCTAGTTATTATTTACATGTTTAATTTTAAGAAATAAAAAGCTTTCTCAAGAGTTAAAAGAAACAAACAAACAAAAAAACAAGAAACAAAAAACAACCTGCACTGAAAAATCAAGTCCTCACGAAGAGGGGAATAATCTCATGAGGGTGGGAAAAAGCTGAATGAGATCTTTTTAAAATTAGCTTTGCTACAGATCCCTCATGTTCTTGCACTGAAAAATTAGAAACAATTTAAAATCTCTAGCCAGACTGAGTATGAAATCTTCATTTCCCTTGAAACGAATTTTTTTTTGTCTTAGATAGAATGTTGGCAGAGTGTATAAAAGAATTCAATTCACAGCTGTTCCACTTTTTTAATGTAAGAAACATTAATCAAAGCTTTAAGTTATAAGCTTTTCTCATGTTGCTTAGTATTCCAGTTCAACAAAGATCAATAGAGGCCATCCCAGTGTTCCTTGACGCCTCACCAGGAAGCAGAGGCGTGATTATGCAAATCGCGCTGCTCCTGCACCTCTGCCAGCCTGCTTATCTCCCAAGCCTTCTGCCTGCTGCTCCTGGCTCCCTGCGCAAGTGCGTGCCTCTCCCTCTTATCTCCCAACAAAGCTCCGAGAGGCGAGGATTGAGGCCAGCGATGTTAAACAATGATGCATGGCTGATTTTATTTGTAAGTGATTTATTTCACTGGATTTAATTTTTTTTCACTTTGTGTATAAGATATTTGTTAACGAATCAGAATAGGAGAAGTAAGGCAGTGTTCAGAGACAATTGACACAGGTTAGAAATCTATTAAGCACTCTAACAGTTGCATCTAAGCAGTGGAAGAAGGAAGCTCCTCACTGAGAATTTCAACATGCATTGGCTAACTATCCCATTTACTCTCTGAAAGGCAATTAATCTGTAATTATATGCAGAAATTTACAAGTAATAATTCTATTATTTGAAAGAAACACACAGTAATCATATAATCTGTTTAAGTGGCGGTACATGTATTTTTCCCCCCAAGCTGGAAATATAAAAAGAATAAAAACCTAAAAACAAGGAAATCTATGGAAACTTTCACAATTTTCCCCTGGCCCTAATAAATGAAAATTATTGTAAGCTAGTTTCTAAACAGGTTCCACACCAGGTGCTGCTCCGGTCGGCGGCTTGTCCACATGACACAGACCACTCCAGAGAGACACACGCACACTGCATTGCTGTAATGATGGACCCCGGGACACTGTCCTTCCATGTCTCCTGCATTAATCCCTGACCCTCGTATCTCGGCAGCATAATCCCCATTTAGCATTAGCAGCAACGGCTTCCACTGTGAGGAACTCTTTTTTGATAAGTAAGCAGTGATTCGGGCATCGCTTTTAAACAACATATTCCCAGCTCAGCAAGAAACCCACACTCCTGAATGAACCGGAGCACATTACTGAGAAAAAGTTCATTAACCTTGCTAGATTTGAAGGTTAACAGGATAGCTGAAGAAAGGAACTGAGTGAACAGCTCGAATACAAAACAAATTAAAATGAATGTCATCATTCCTTTTGATATTCATTAGTTGATTCAGAGGGAGAATGCTCTTCTTAAATTTGCAAGCATTTATCTGTGAAAAACAGGTGTACATCTGCTGCTCGAATGCGTCTTAAGCGCGTGAGAGAAGAATAATGTAGACACTCACCCGTTCCGCTGAGGGAGTAGCTGGGAGAGGGAGAAAAGACTTGGGCTGCGAAATCCTCGAATGTCATGACTTCGCGGTGGTTCTGAATTATTGCTTCGAGATACAGAGCTCGCTCTTCATAGCTGCGGTAACCGGTTAAGGAAAAAGTGCGTGTGCAAAGTGGCATGCAGAGCAGTGACAGAATTCACTTTTAATACTGTTGTGCATTTTTTTCTGTGTAAAAAAGTATCCTGCAGGTTCTTTACCATCTTGCAGAAAATTAAATATTAGTCATAATTCATACCAAAATTCTGGTTTTCAGACCTAAGTTTCTCTTAGACTTTAACTGCATTTAATACTATTAATACTAAAAAACATGTAAGGCAACAGTTACAGAATAACATCATAAGATCATTAGGGTTGGTTTAAACAAAAACAGGAGACACTGATTGCAACGGCATCTCTTTCCACTGACAATGGTAGATCTTTTACGTCCTATTTCAGTGGATAAAACATTCTTAGCCTATTGACATGAGTTGATACTTCAAGCAACTTGGTAATACAACAGTGCAGACGCTTCTTAAAAATAAGAAGATGCAAGTTACTGGGAAGAGAGAAAGCTAGGAAGATATACTTTGAGGGGGCATCAGAGCCTCTAACCAAGACAAGCTGTGAACATTGGAAAATAAGAACTACCATGTGAGAGAATCTATCAAGAGTGTACAGTGCAATTTTTTAAAAAAAGACTACTGCCTTTTAATTAAAACTGCACTCTGGAACACACAGCATTCAAATGTGTAATCAAAAACCAGTCACCAATAAAACTTACAAGCGTAACACACTGAAGCAACTTTCCAGCTGTCTTAATAGGACCCCTGCGTGTGGCAGGCTTTCACAGGGCAAAAAGCAAATCTTCCCCTTTTGTGTGTGGCTTCTGTTTCCTCAGAAGGTGAATCATGCACTTCCAATAACAGGATAACGTCAGAACAATCCAACAATGGATGGAGGCACTGCACATACGACGTTATGAATTAACACTTGGGGAAGTCCGCATGACGTCTCATTTTCCCCTTCCTCATTATCAATGCAAAAGTTAAAAGACATGTTTCAGTCATTTTGAAAATCATGCTAATTCTCCAGGAACACAGGGAATGTGGATCACCATCAGTTTATTATTTGCAGCTCCAGAAGAAGAAACGTAACTCTAGCATTTCTCACTACATTTTCAAACTATCTTTTCAAAACGGCCTCTTTAAAAATACAAGTTGGTGACAATTAGGCCCTTTCAATCAGCTTTCAAGACAGCATGTGTTTTTAAATGGTCAAATACTTTTCTACTTTCTTATAGCAAAGGGTGCACACCGATCTCTAAACGCAGGCTCTTCCTCTCCCTACTCCTTCAGAGGATAATTTTCACACCATGAGGAGACCAGAGGCATTCTAGGGCTGTGCTATCTCATACAGTAGCCAGTAGTATCCATACAGTAGCCATACAGGCTATCTCATTTGAAATCTGAATTAATTAAAATAAAAAGCTACAATTCAGTTGCTTTGCCCCCCACCGCCCCCCGCCCCACCTAGATATATTTTAAGCACTCAATAGCCACATGTGGCTAGGGGTTCTATACTGGATTGCACAGATATAGGGCATGCCTGTCACCGTGGAAAGCACTACTGGACAGCGTGCTGCCAGAATTTCTCCATAAGCTTGCTCTATGCAACCTCAAGCAAGGAAAATAAGTTTGAAGATTTCCAAAGTGGCCCCTCTAATGATTTATGATCTTTTATATAGATGAGCACAACCGCCCAAGGCCTGGGCAGCATGAGCCTGAACTGGCTTCTCGACTGTGGGCTGAACTCCTGGTGACTCGCCCTAATGAACAGGCTGCCAAACTTCCTCAGCGAGAGGCGCCTGCTCAGGCCCAATTCTAGAGGGACCCACTAATGCCATTCACGTCTCATTATGAACACACTTATTCTGCACAGCACTTGGCTGTCGCCATGGCTCGGCCCTCCGTGCATGGCCCCAGCAAGCCGCTGGTCCGGGGAACAGCAGGACGTTAGGCCTGAGTGGCCGTCTGGCGAACAGGCACTCTGACACTAAGCTGGCACGTGCTGGCCCAGCAGGGGCTGAGCGAGGCGTGACAAATTACTCAAAGAGCTGAGCTAAACTTATGGCTGACAACCACCTGAGCCTTCGGACCGCCGTGGCCCGCTGTCAACGCTCAATTCATGGCTCCCCCTTTCAGTCCATCGTCTGCTTGTGGGCCTGGGTTAGAGCAGGCATGTCCCTCTAAAGACCTGTCATGCTCTGCCTAGCATCGTCCTGCTGTTTCCCGAAAGGCCCCACTGCGTCCAACACATCCACATACAGTGCTTGGGACAATGGTGAACAAAAAGGAAATGCGTGTGCATTTTGCTAACTACTCTATGGAAGCCACGTATCTGGAAAGTGGCTGGCTATGTGAATCAAGCTCATGATCAAACCTACAAAGGGACGTTTTGCATACTATATGAACTGACCCCAGACGGCAGCCCACTGTCCCTATCCTGGATGGCACTATCCAATTGTTGTAAGCTTGTCCTTGTCAAGGCTGAGAGATCTGGGCTCCTTAGAGAAAGTCCAGCACTGTATTTAGAGGAGTAATAATGAAGTTGTGAGATTCTCTGATTCAATGAATATTTATGGTCTGACTCCTAAATTAAAGCAGTAGGAGACAGAGAAAACACAAAGGTGCTTCCAGAACTGGATCCTGGAGGAGGGAGTGTTTCCTTCAGAGAAGGTTCCTGACCCTGCCATCCATGCCCCCGACTGTCACACATAGTCCACACTCTCCCGCCTACTAACTGGAGTGTTAACAGTGCTAAACTGGGTGCTGTCATTTAGACAAACATCCATTAGGGACTGGGGTGAGACCAGGATATCATCAAATACATTTTCGCTCATGGCCCAAGCCAGGGCATGTAAACACCCTGACAAAGAGTAAACAAATATCCCCTTAGCTCTGGAGGCATTTAGAAACAGCCAAGGAGCTTGTGGGTGCCAAAAATCATTTCCTTTAGTAGCCATAAAAAACATAGCACTGGGATCTTAACTGTATTAATTAGTAGAACTACTAGCAAGGGGAATTTGGAGCAGTATCATCTGACATTTTCTTACCTAATATCCTTAGGGCTTCAATGCTGGTTGCTTTCTATAACAAAGGACATTTATAATTTAGACATCAAAATGCCTGTAAGCTTTTCACATGTAAGACATGTTAAAATGTGAAGTGAATGCTGAAATAATGTCCATCCCTGGATGGTCAAAGACCTTTCACGGAAAGAGGCACCGGGTCACAAATCCGATCCCTGTTTCAGTACGAGCCATGGCCCTTTTGTTCTCTTAAAAAGTCTACTACCAAATGTGTAACTTTTAATTCTGTTCTGAATTATTATCTCATTAAAAGTCACACACAACAAAGTACTTTTTTTTTTTTTTTTTTTTTGACGGAGTCTTGCTCTGTAGCCCGGGCTGGACTGCAGTGGCCGGATCTCAGCTCACTGCAAGCTCCGCCTCCCGGGTTTACGCCATTCTCCTGCCTCAGCCTCCGGAGTAGCTGGGACTACAGGCGCCCGCCACCTCGCCCGGCTAGTTTTTTGTATTTTTAGTAGAGACGGGGTTTCACCGTGTTAGCCAGGATGGTCTCGATCTCCTGACCTCGTGATCCGCCCGTCTCGGCCTCCCAAAGTGCTGGGATTACAGGCTTGAGCCACCGCGCCCGGCCAACAAAGTACTTTTTTAAAGAGCAGTTTTCCCCTGGATTACTCAATTCAGGAAACATTCAAATTGCTGACCAGAAACCCATCTTGGCTTCTGGATATTTCTCAGTTTCTTTAGCCACTCATTCTGCTCATATTTTCACATACGAATTTTCATCAAGAATTTTGATTAAGAGACAGGCTTGTAGCCCCAGCGACTCAGGGGCTGAGGTGGGAGGATCACTTGAGCCCAAGAGTTTAATGAGTCCAGCCTGGGCAACATAGCAAGATTCTGTCTCTAGAATAAAAAATAAAAAAAATTAATATTATTCCCCTACTTTACTAAAGAGGTTATATGCCATTACTAGTTACATTTTATCAAAAATTTCCAAGAGAACTTCTTGAGACTCTCAAGACACACCCTGCTGAATCTGCAGAGCTGTAAGAGTCTGAGAATCTGAACCTGTCCCCCAACTTTACTCTCATTGTTTGTTTTAATTTTTAGAAATGACAGCAGCAGCATGACAGTCAGGAAGGAGCTTGTATTTTGGTGGAAGGAAGGCAGGGTTTGAATCCCAGTTGCTTTTTTCCCTGCCAGGTGATGATGTCCCCATTTTACACGTGAGACAGCAAAAGCAAGCTGCTCCAACTCCCAGCCTCAGTTATCTTACGTGTAAAATGAGGACACCAACCCCTGTTCTCAGGATGGCTGGGAAGATTAAATAGAATCTTATATATGAAGCATCTACCTGGGTTCCAGCACAAAAAGAAAAGCACGATAAATCTGGATTGACTGCTCCCTGCCTCTACCATGTGGGCCTAGGGTTTTGTTGCAGAAAGAATGTAGTAGGTAAGCTAGAGGAGAGTTCCATGTCAGGCTCCATGGCAAGCAAACCCCCTTCAGGCTACACCCTCATGAGCGGGGAAGTCCTACGGTCTCCATTTTACTGATCAGGTAATGAGAGCTCCGAGAGTTCAAGAAATTTTCTTGAATCACAGTGACGCAGTAATGGAATTAAGGCTAGAGCCCAGGTCCTCTCACCTTTACTGCTTTCATCTAATATCTTGAATTCTAGAATAAATAGTGTTAAGTTCAAGATCTTGTGTGAGGTTGGGAACTAAACTCCAAATGAGACAAATCAACTGACTTAAATATACATGAGCTACAATAATCAACCCACAATGTAAACCTGAGTGCATATGTGTAAGCTGCATCTATACCCAGACCATGCTGTCTTTATAAAATACAACAAAACAACAATTATTCCATTTAAATTTCTTTTTACTTATTCAGGCTATGTGTTTGTTGACTGTTGTTTAGCACTTTCAAGCTTCTTTTATCAAAGAAATAAAGAGAAATGTTTGGAAGAGGCTATGTTGCAGACTATATTTTTTCAACCCT